GGCAGCGAGCTCGGCATTCGAACCTCCCTCGCAAAGACGCTCCCCGGCCCACAATGCACCGCGGCGGGCAGCCTTTGAAAAAGCGGCGCGGCTCGTTCAAGATGGCGGAGCTCGACCAGTTGCCTGACGAGAGTGAGTAGCACCTCGGAGCACCCCCTTCACCCCTCCGGCCGCCCGTCCCGCGGCTGCCCCGGCCGGGATGGGTGGCCGTCCCCTCCTCCGGCCAGGCTGGGGTGACTGCCAGCCCCGCCGTTGGTCCCCCCCGGGTCTTCCCACTCCGGTGTTGCCGCCGCGTCGCCGCCTTTGTTATGGTGTCTTGTGTGTTGGTCTCTGGGCTGGTGTGAGCGCCAGGGCCGGAAACCGAAAGCCCGGGAGTCCGGCCGGTGCCGGGCGGAGGCGGGAGCTGCTCTCCCGGCCGAGGTGGGGGTGGGGGGGAGCGCGGGCCCCGGACGCGGGGACTGTCCCCAACGCCTGCAGCGCTCGCCCGGCGCCGAGGGACGCCCGCCCGGGTTATGTAACTCGCCGGTCCGGGGGCCGGGAGGGCTCGGGCCAGGCAGTGGGTGTCACAGCCTCTTCTTGTCCCGGCCTCTGATCTTGTCCTGTCACAGCTCCTGCCTCGACAGGCACTTGGGAGCTTCCCTGTCCCCCTCCCATCCCCCCAAGTGTCCACCCCTGGAAGTGTTTCCGTGTCAGGGGGTTGGCCCCTTCCCCCGGGACCACAGGTGGCTGTGGACCTGGTGATCCAAACTGGATACAAAGTGTCCAGGTACCCCCATCGCACAGACTTTGTTCTGAGGGTGTGTGTGTCCTAAGAGGCATGGGCTGCCTTTGCCCAGGGATGTGACCCGCGCAGCATACCTGGGCACTACCCTGCCTGCCACCCACCCTGTGCATTGCGTCGCTTAACCTCCTTGATTACTCACCCTGACACCTAAGACATGTGTGCTCACTTGTGTTGAGTAAGTCAAAGCACCAATTGTGCAGTTTGAGGACAATGGAACTTAATTTTGTAATTTACGGGATTGCCTGGATTATGTAAAAAGGCACATTTTATCTTAGTTACAAAAAGGTCCTGAATCCCCACTCAATATTCAGTTTACGTATGGGTATCATTTGGGGGAGTTTTAGTATTAACAAAAACAAAGGGCTCAGTCCCTGTTAAATCTGTGCACAAGGCAAATAGACTTTAAAAATGAGAGCTCCAGATACCGCCAATTCTCTTTTCTTTGTGAGGTCATATATTCTCAAAATGTTGTAAAGTTAAAATTAAAGTTCAAGTTGCCAAGATGGTGAAAAGTTGTATTAAGTAAGTGTCTGTGTGTTAAATTTGATCTAGACCAGCGCTAACTCCCAAAAGAACTTTCTCAGTGATGGGAGTGTTCTTTTTTGCGATGTCTCATAGGATAGTGACTAGTCATGTGTGGCTGGGGAATACTTCAAATGTGGTTAGAGTAGCTGAGGAACTGAATTTTAAATTTTATCTCATTTAAATTTAAATAGTCTCCTGTCGCTAGTGGCTATTGTATTGGACACCGGCCGGCCCTCTGCTCAAATATTACCTTTCAGACCATGCATGAGATTTACTGCTTCTTGATTGGAGAATATAGTTGATTGTGATTTAGGATACTCCCAAATAGAAGTTGGCCTATTAAGGCCGGCCCGTGGCTCACTCGGTAGAGTGCGGTGCTGATAACACCAAGGCCACGGGTTCGGATCCTATATAGGGATGGCCGGTTTGCTCACTGGCTGAGCGTGGTGCTGACAACACCAAGCCAAGGGTTGAGATCCCCTTACCCGTCATCTTTTAAAAAAAAAAAAAATGATAGAACTGCAAGGAGAAATTCCACTATTATACTTTGAAACTATATCACCCCTTTCTCAAAAGTAGATAAACTCAGCAGGCAGAAAATCAGAAAGGACATAGCCAAACTCAACAGGATCATCAACCAATGGGATATAATTGACACCTATAGACTGCTTCCTCCAAAAACAGCAGAATACAAATTCTTCTCAAGCTCACATGGAACATTCACCAAGATAGGCCACATTCTGGGCCATAAAAGACAGGTTAAAATTTTTTGAAAGTTAGAAATTATTCAATATCAGCACCCGAACCCTCGGCGGGAGCGCCTCCGCACTTCCCAAGCGGCGCACCAGCACAGTGCGCCACCGGGCCGGCCCTTGTCTGGGCTTTTTAACCTACTGTTTCTTCTGCTCGGACTCTGCTTTGATCTTTTGCTCTCTTATGGCTAGTTACTTTTCAGATGTTACCTCCTCAGAGAAGCCTTCCCTAACTACCCTATGTAAAGTAATTCTTCCCACACCAATATGACACTTTATAGCAATTGTTATTATTTGTACCAATAATTATTATTTTATCTTCTTGTTTATTGTATGTCTCTTTCCAGTAGAATGTAAGCTCCCTGAGAGCAGAGGCTTTGTCTATCTTGTTCTTTGGGGTAACCCTAGCCCCTAAAATAGTGCTTATGGCAGGCATTCAGTAAATATTTGTTGAACGAATGAGTGAACATACCTGGTTAGAGCAGGATTCTAACTTAATCAGATTCACCTGCCTGTAAAATCCGTGTTTTTTAACCTAAAAAAATTTTTTTAATTAATCAAAGTAATACTAACAGTAAGCACTATATTAAAATTAGCCATATACTATGTGCACTATTCTAAGCATTTTTACATCTATCAACTCATTTAATCTCCATTTTCCAAATGAAGAAACAGCAGCACAGAGCAGTTAAGTAACTTGCTTAAGGTAACAGTGAGAAAGTGGCAGAGGCAAGATTCAAACACAGCTAGTTCCAATCTAGAACCTGTTCTCTTAACCACTGTGCTATACTGCCTCTCAAGAAAGGAAGAAAGGTTAAAGGTGGTAGATCAGAATCCCCAAGATATGGTTCCTGCTTTCATGGAGTAGCAATAGATATCCTTGTGGCTCATACCCTCTTCCCTCTGCTCAAATATTACCTTTCAGAGAAGCTGATTGTGAGCACTTTATAAAAAAAAAGTCTTTCCTCCCTCCACCCCGACTTGTATCCCTGCTTTCCTGCTTGACTTTTTTCCATAGTGCTTACGATCACCTGACATGTGTGTGGGTTTGTCTCCCCTCAATAGAATGTAAATTCCGTGACAGCAGGGACTTTAGCCATCTTTCTTGCTCTTGTATCCATTGTCTTGAGCAGGGACTGGCATGCAGTCAGCACTCCACACATTCACTGAATAAGTGGAGAGTTACTACTCTTTCTCAAATGAACTATATTTCCCTTGGTATCTGCACGGATAGGTATACTGTCCACTATTGCTGCTTCCCAGTTGTGTTGTAGCGTTTGAGACTTTTTTAGCAAGATTTTATGACAGTCTTCCTCCCCCACCTCCCCCAAATGGCTTTACTGCCTTTGGTCATTAAACTTCTGTTTGCCAAACAGAAACTGTTATGGTGTCCTATTAACTATTCTCCACATCTAGGCAAGAGAGTGGAGTGAGAGCAGGAATGGCTTTGATGCTGATGGGTGTCTGTTGTGCAGGCCTCCCATACTGACTAGTGGAGGAAAAAAGTCAGTTGAGGTTTAAAGATCTGAGATGTGTATTGTTTAAGGATGAGATGAAATGTTTCATAGCCGTAACTGCCATACTTTATCTGTTGCTTCTCATTTCAAGTCTGTTATCCATTTATATGACTTGTAAATCATTGCTGCTTTTGGAATACACCAAGGAAGATGAATCTATCTTCTCTGATTTTTGTACCTAGTTCATGTTCTTTTTTACTTCATCCCCTGAGATCATCTTTTATTATTTTTCAAATGCCTTGGACTTCTTTGCAATGCACATCCAATTCTGAGATTTTAAATTTGGTGCTCTCCCTCCCTCAAAAAACTTCTTTCCCTGTTGATTGTCCTGCTTCCCCCACCCATAGATCCTGTCCCTTATTCACGCCAGAGCCTGTAGCCCCGTGCTTCTTAAAGTGGGTTACCTGAAACAGAATCCCTTGAAGAGCTTTATTAATAATAGAGATTCTGCATGTATGAGGACCTTCCTGGTAATTCTAATACACACTAAAGTTTGTTTTATCCAGTGAACCCCTCCAACTTTATGCTAGTGCCTCTTGGCTGTTCTGAATTCCCTTTTCCAGCTTGGATCTTTAAGTGTTGCACATACCTGCATTGGAGACTTTCAAGGGATTTATTGCCTGCTGACAGTCCCTGGATGTTTGCATTTTCTGTTTTCTCTTCTCCATTACCACTTCTGATCTTTGTCTCTATAAATGTCAGTTCCCTTTCTCTTTTCCTCCAGCTCCAGAGTAGTTCTGGATGATGATCCCAGATTACTTCTGTCCCTACTCTTCCTTTTTTCTCTCTTTCTACATTTTCCTCTCTCAGAATGGTCTCTAGTTCTAACAACTTCAGCAAAACTCCCAGTGCTCTCTCCAGCTCTTCCTTACTCTGAGTTCTGGTCTATAGCTTGAATTGTCTACTAATTATTTCTAATTGTACATCCTACCAATAGTTTAAACTCAACATTGTTAAAACTAAATGGATCACTTTTACCCCTAAACCAAGTTCTTTTTCTGTCACTTTGATTGTGAAATAATTATTGATTTGTTTTGTTTTCAATTGCAGGCTCTTCAGCAAAAGCCCTTGTCAGTTTAAAAGGTAAGAATTACAGCATTCTTAGCTAGAAACTTAATTCGTTAAATTAATTTGAATATAATGTTTCTCTTTCCCTTCTAAGTTATGACTCATTATAGCTTTTAAGTTTTGGTTTTCAGTGATAACTTTAAATTGATATGCTTCTATTGGAAAACTGGTCCTCAGTTGTTAGAAATTATTAATAATTTTTCCCCAAAATTATTGATTAAAGAACTTCCTAACTAAAGATTCCAGAAAGATCTTATTTAGATTTAAAGCGTTTGTTAAACAACTTTGCTGATCTGTATGTTTGCATAATAGTTTATTTTTAAGAATCTTGCCTTCTAGGTAATGCAACTTCCCTGAAATAAAAGAACGATAATAACTTTTCTGAGAAAAAAAGTTAAGCATGTTTCTTGGTTTTCTTTTGATAGGTACATTAGACTAGCCGTCTTAATAGAGTTTATTTTAAATTTTACCTCTTGATTAAGATTCTACAGGGGAAATAAATTTGGAACCAAGCTAAAGAGTCTAAAAGGTTCATTAGTACCTTCAATCTTTAAAGCTACTGTGTTGTGCTTTGGATTGGTGATTTACCTAATTAAATCCTTCTGGCTTGAGGAGACCACTTATCTTCCAGAATGCCCCAATTTCCTTGCCTAGCAAGATCACCTTCATCCCACTTCTTTTGTTTTGTGCTTCCTAAAATATACATCTAAAAAAGTATTCCACTATTCTTTTTCTCCCAATATTAAACCCATTTCTCTTTTTAAAAAAATTATACAAATAATATGAATTTCTTATAGAAAAAAACTAGAAAATGCTGATGAGAAGCTAGAAGAAAATAAAAGTATCCATCTTGTGTATTTATCCCAGTTTTCTATGTCTCTCTCTCTATATATAAACATACTCTTTTCACAGAAAATTAAACTCACCACTCTTTATTTTCATACTGTTTATTTAATTACATGATTGTATTTTTCCTTGTGTAAAACTCTGAGGACATTTCTTTGAATTAAGAAAAACAGAAACACCACACTAATTTCATTTTCCTATGTCGAGCATTTCACTTAATGAAGCAAAAAACATTTAGAAATATGTTCTAAATTCAAAGTTAGATGGGGCTTTTTCCATTTTCCATTGCCCTGCTTTCAATCGGAATTGTACCAAAAATTATGAGACAGTTCTTGGCAAATTGGAGTGGAGGAATTATTATGGCCAAAAAGAAAGGGGAAAAAAAATAGAAACCACATATTTTGGTATGGAAATTTAATACTTTCAAGATGCATTGTTTTATCACGTTATTTAGGGTGGGGCTGGCTGGTTAGCTCAGTTGGTTAGAGTGTGGTGCTGGTAACACCAATAGAAACCACATATTTTGGTATGGAAATTTAATACTTTCAAGATGCATTGTTTTATCATGTTATTTAGGGTGGGGCTGGCTGGTTAGCTCAGTTGGTTAGAGTGTGGTGCTGGTAACACCAAGGTCCAGGGTTCAATCCCTATACCAGCCAGCCGGCAAAAAAAAGTATTATGTAGGGAGTTAGACAGAAATTTTTCATTTGCTTTTCTTTTTACATGACCGGTAAGGGGATCTTAACCTTTGACTTGGTGTTGTCAGCACCACGCTCTCCCGAGTGAGCGAACCGGCCGTCCCTATATAGGGATCCAAACCAGCGTCTTTGGTGTTATCAGCACCACACTCTCCCAAGTGAGCCACGGGCCGGCCCTAGAAATTTTTCATTTGTAATAAACTAAAATTACTGTGGTCAATGTATATTTTTTCATATTGGTAAATATTTCATGCCTTTTTAATAACAGCAATATTTCATATTATGAAATCCTTTGAACTAAAATTTGTTATTGATTATTCATTACAGAGGGAAGTTTATCTAATACATGGAATGAAAAGTACAGTTCTTTACAGAAAACGCCTGTTTGGAAAGGCAGGAATACAGGCCCTGCTGTAGAAATGGTAAGGAATGAGTTTACTTACACTTTAGAATAAATATAGTCAGTATTATGGTCATGTGTAAGTTCTTATAGCACAATAAAAAATTTATAAGGTTTTTCTCCAGCCTCAAGCATTTGGGTCTTTAAGTGTCATTGAGCAGTATTTGATCTTTAGATAAATTATCTGTAGCCAGTGATAATCTGGTCATCATTAAGCATTTGTTAAGTACAGTGATATGCCACATAATAACGTTTTGGTCAACAACAGACCTTATATGCAATGGTGGCTGTACCACATAGCCTAGGTGAAGTAGGCTTTACCACCCAGGTTTGTACGCTATGCTTGCACAACGATCGAATCACTTAATGACACATTTCTCAAAACATATCCCCGTCATTAAGAGAAGCAACGCATGACTGTAATCATAGTTTCTTTAAATAGGAAAAACAAAACCAAAAAGCCTCCAACAATCCAAAATCATACTTATATTAGATATGCAAAAAATTTTACATGGCTCTCTGGTCCCTGCAAAAAGATATATAAATAAGTGGTAAGGTATTAAAATCTCGTGTAGGTCAAGGGAAGTGTGTTTAGAGATGGGAATAGAGGACCGACCGGCCCGTGGCTCACTCAGGAGAGTGTGGTACTGATAACACCAGGGCCATGGGTTCAGATCCTATATAGGGATGGCTGGTTCGCTCACTGGCTGAGCGTGGTGCTGACAACACCAAGCCAAGGGTTAAGATCCCCTTACCGGTCATCTTAAAAAAAAAAAAAAGAGATGGGAAATAGAGATGAACATGTAATTGGCATGACTAACAATTTTAGGACCTCTGCCTCTCCCCTGCCCAGCCAGGTAGCCAGGAGGTTTTAGGGGTCAATCATGAAACAAGCCTGGAGCTGGGATAGACAGCAGCGGTCACAGTGGCCTGGGATCTGGCCACAGTGAATGTGGGGACTTTCCCCACTGTGTCAGTTCCATCATCATGATTCCCTTCCTACTCCTTGCCCTTGGTCAAAGAAGGGGACAGGGTAGAAGGGACTTCCTGTTAGGGCTGTGGAATGTTGAGATTCTGAGAGAGTTTAATTTCAAGGGTCCATACCTCCAGTCTTGACCCAACTGGATGCTGCACATGTTATCCCTCTGTATCTGTCTCCCTCCCAAATAAAAATGAAGGTCTGTCCAGAGTGACGGGAGGAGGCTTTGAAAAAGGATGTGGGTCTTATTGGGATATTATTTTTGTTGTTTCTGTCTATTAATGAAATCTCTGAACCTAGGGTGGACTGCAAAAGTTTTCATGTTATAGACTGTTAAGTATGATATACTTTTGGTACTTAAAATTTTTTTTAATTCTACAGATAATCAAGTATCTATTATATGTATCTTATATTTTTATTTATAAATAGAAATTGGTTAACAATTTTTTTTTTTTTTTAAAGATGACCGGTAAGGGGATCTTAACCCTTGACTTGGTGTTGTCAGCACCACCCTCAGCCAGTGAGCTAACCGGCCATCCGTATCTGGGATCCGAACCCAGGGCCTTGGTGTTATCAGCACCACCTCTCCCGAGTGAGCCACGGGCCGGCCCAACAATTTTTGACAGCAGATCTAGGCTTATTCTTTTAGAGTGATTTAGTATCTTTGTTCCAGCCCAGCCCTATGCAGCAGACATATCATGTAATACACCCAACTGGTATGAACCCAAGCCCCAACATAATTTGAACTGGAATTTCTAGAACTTATTTTCCTATCTTCACCATGCAAGGGTACTAGTGTACTAGGTAGACTTAGGTTCTAGTTTTAGTTTAATCATCAGTTAGGTGTTGCATTCGTAAATAAATTGAACAAATGTATATCTTACTGCTTTGTAAATGTAAGATTATTTATATTTGGTTTTATGTGCTTTGTATTACCCATGCAACCTCCTTTCATACTGCTGATAATCCAGAGTTAGCTGTATTTTCCAAGTACAGAATTGTCTTTTGGAACAAACATGGGAAGTGTTCAGCTTTTTCATTAAATAAAAAAATTTCTTTCATAGCCTTTCAGAAATTCAAAACGAAGTCGACTCTTTTCTGATGAGGATGACAGACAAATAAATACAAGGTCACCTAAAAGAAACCAGAGGGTTGCAATGGTTCCACAGGTATGTTTATGCTAAGATTTTGTCTTATGTGAAAGGAAGTAAGCAATCACTCAGCATAATAAAGGTTATATTTATTTATTCTGTTATATTTTGAGTAACAAGTTCTTTAAATCAGTACTACCAGGCTGGGTGGTTATGCCAGTGGTTAGAGCATGGTGCTGAAAACACCAAGGTCCAGTGTTCGATCCCTGCACCGGTCAGCCACCAAAAAAAAAAAATCAGTAGTGCCACTCAGCTCCTCTTGTAGTTACCTAGAAAACGCCACTACTTTGTTGATTGGCTTTAAATCAGAGTAGAAAACCAGACATCAGCCCTACAAATGCACACTTTTAAGAATGGAGATAGTGGATATTAAGCTTCTGGATTTGGCAATATAGAATCAGATTGGAGTTTTGCGTGGAAGGGGAAAAATGTTTTACTGTATCGCTGAGGGAAGTACAAGGGGTCTCTAAAAAGTTTGTAGAAAGATTTGCATTGTCTTTTGTGATATTTATATACTGGTTTTTGTCCACGGTTCCTGGCTCATGTTATTCTCTGCCCTCCTTTTACCTGCTCCTTTTTTTTCCTTGAGGCACAAAATTCTCTGACCTACCTTAGCTGATTGTAGGTCATAAGACCACCATTTCAAGAGGGGCCCTGCCCCATGCCCGGGAGGAAGGAATGCTGCGCAGAAAGGTCGAGAAGAATCTGAACAAACAGGCCTTGTGGGTTTCCCCACCCGGTCAGTTAGTGTTAGATCAGACCCTTTTTGTTCAATCACATTTCTACATGATTGTCCATGCTTCAGTCATGCCTACCTGCAGCTTCTGTTAAAAACCCAAGAACTAAGAGTTTGGGAATTTCCAGATAGCTGTACGTGTGGAGGTTCCTGGAGGATGGCACGCCCAGGGAGGGCATGGAAGCTCCACGCCCCTTCTCCCATACGTCACCCTATGCAGCTCTTCATCCATATCCTTTGTAAAATCACTTATAATAAACCAGTAAATGTAAGTACATGTTTCCCTGAGTTCTGTGAGCTGCTCAAACAGCGTAATTGATCTGAAGGAGCGGGTCATAGGGACCCTGATTTATAGCTGGTCGGTCAGAAGGTCCAGAGGCCTGGGCTTGTGACTTGCGTCTGAAGTGGGGGCCAATCTTGGTGACTGAGTCCTCAACCTGTGGGATCTGACGCTATTTCCAGGTAGATAGCATTTGAGTAAAATTAGAGGACACCTAGCTGGCATCTGCTGTGTAATTGACTGCTTGTTTGCTGGTGAGGACAAATCCCCACACATTTGGTCACAGAACTCAGTGGTCTGTGTTGATTGTTGCTGAGTAAGAGCATAGGAAACACACTTCTGTGTGTGCTTTCCCCCTTACTCAAACATCTTTTAATTCCATTTTTCTATGATTTTTCAGAATACCCTTGTATGTTAAAGACTTTCTTTATTCAAAAGAGGAAAACATGTCATGAAATTATATCTCCTTTTTTTGTATTTCCAGCATCTTTTTCTTTTTTTAATCATAGTGGACATGTAAGAATCAAAGGAATGAAAGTTAGATAAGGAAATAGTAACTTTAAGAATAATGTAATTTTTCTCCTTTCAAATTTAAAATGTCTGAAATAGTCATTCCCTACTTACTTTTCATTATTTTCTTATAAAATAAGATTTCCCAATATAATGGATCATAGTAGAGGTGATTTTCTCAACCAAGGATTTGGCATCAAATAAATTAAAAGCATGATCAGCAATATGCTCTATCAAAAAAACCTCTTACATGCCTACACGATAATTTAAAATAGTAAAATTTAGGGCCGGCCTGTAGCTCACTTGGGAGAGTGTGGTGCTGATAACACGAAGGCCATGGGTTCGGATCCCTATATAGGGATGGCCGGTTAGCTCACTTGGGAGAGCCTGATGCTGACAACACCAAGGCAAGGGTTGAGATCCCCCTTACTGGTCATCTTTTAAGAAATAAAAAATTTTTTAAAAACTAGTAAAATTTGTTTATGTTCTATTGCTATCATTACTATCAAATTATCTATAAAAATTGTAATAATTTTTATTCCCACTAACAGAATGCACAGAAATGTATCTTGACCTTTTTTTTTTTTTAATTTACTTATTTATTTTTTGGCAGCTGGCTGGTATGGGGATCTGAACTCTTGACCTTAGTGTTTTTGGCACCACACTCTAACCAGCTGAGCTACCTGGCCAGCCCTATTGAACTTTTTTTAAACATCAAAGACAAGTGTACATAAACATCTAAAATGCAATTTAAAAATTTGATCCCATTGAAACCAAAATACAGTGTGCATTTCTTGGCTCTGTAGGTTTTGGATACAAGGTCAGATGAACACAAGAAAGAGATAAATAACAATTTTGTTACCTTGACTTTGGAAGAGCCATGTTACTAGGATGATCTGGATGACTCACAAACATACAGAAAACTCTGGCCTTTGTGACTAAGACACTGTCTGTCCCAACTCTATCCACTGCCTTCCTTCTAGGCACATCATTCCTTCTAGAACTATTTTACAAAGTCCTTTCTACCTCTGAGTAATACAGAACAGATATAGCATAGGACAGGCATGATATGTGACTTCTTCCAATATGTGAAAAGTTTTTATATTCTCTGAGTTTTCTCTTTACTAGTCTTAATATCCCTAGTTCTTTTCAGTCTTCATTTACATGACATGGCTTATCCCCTTACCCTTCTAGTCATATCCTCTAAATCTGTTGTATCTTGTCTGTATGTTTATTTAAAAACCATCCAGAGCAAAAATATTATGAAAACCAACTTTTATTGAGTACTTAGTATGTGGTAGGTCCTGTTCTGATCACTTCATATGTGTTACTTTGATTTAATCTTCAACAACCCCCATGAGATAGGTTACTGTTATATTACCTGCATTCCCCATTTTGCAGATGAGAAAACAGAGACAGAGAAGTTAAATATCTTGCTCAAGACCACAAAGCTAGGAAGTGAAGACTGATACTAAAATGGCAGGCAGCCTGTCTCCAGAGTCCTTTTTTTTTTTTTAAATGAACAGCTTTATTGAGATATAATTCACATATCATACAATTAATTCATCTATTTAAAGTGTACGATTTATTGGTTTTTAATATATGCACAGAGTTGTGCAACCATCACCAAATCAATTGTAGAATATTCTCATTGCCCCCAAAAGACACCTTGTACCCAGTAGCAGTTACTCCCATTTTCTATTTGTTGAATAAACCCTTACAACTGTAATTGCTACAACAAGGGTATTTAACTTAAAATTTAGCATTCACTATCAAATAATCTAACTATAAAAATTGTAATAATTTATATTCCCACTAACAGTTTGAATAAATTTCCCCACACCCAACAGAGGGATCTCTAATACAGTTTTATATCCATTGAGCCGCTAATACCCTATTTAGAAACCCAGGTTACTAACTCAATAGAAAGAAATGTAGCCCTTGTTGTGATAAGAATATTTTATAGTAATTTGCTTGTTATTTATGCTAACATGTCCTGGCTTATAAAACTTTTCTTTTTTACATTAAAAAGTTAATTTTTTAAATATAATGTGCTATCCTGTATTGGATTCTGGAATAAACAAAGGACATTAGTGGAAAAACTGGAAAAATCCAAATAAACTCGGAGTTTAGTTAATAGTATTACACTAATTTTGACAAAAAAAAAAAATCATGGTTATGTAAGATATTAACATTAGGGAAAGATGGGTGACGAGTATATAGGAACTCTGTACTTTTTTTTGCACATTTTCTGTAAATATACAATTTTTCCAAAATAAAAAGTTTATAATAAAAAGTAAAATGTTAGGAGGGCCGGCCCGTGGCTCACTTAGAAGAGTGTGGTGCTGATAACACCAAGGCCACGTGTTCGGATCCCTATATAGGGATGGCTGGTTAGCTCACTTGGAAGAGTGTGGTGCTGATAACACCAAGGCCACGTGTTCGGATCCCTATATAGGGATGGCTGGTTAGCTCACTTGGAAGAGTGTGGTGCTGACAACACCTAGTCAAGGGTTAAGATCCCCTTACCAGTCATCTTTAAAAAAAAAAAAAAAAGTAAAAAGTTAATTTTGACCTCAGCTCACCATTCTGATCTTCAGCTTTCTTCATCTAGTGGTAACCACTGTAGTTAGTTTGATTATACTTTTAAGGCCTTTAAAATAAGCATTTAAATAAACTATATGTATGTATGTATTCATAGAAAATGTATAGTATTTAATGTCTATAGTTTTTTCTTTTTTAAAATGTATATATTTTTATTTATTTATAATTTTGTGGGGTTTTTTTTTTTTTTTGGCAGCTGGCTGGTATGGAGATTTAAACCCTTGACCTTGGCGTTATAGCACCCTACTCTAACCAGCTGAGCTAACTGGCCGACCCTATATTTTTAAAATTACATTTATAGTGTCAGTTTCATATTCTGCCATGCATCTTTCTGTAATTTATTCTTTTCACTCAAGTCTTTTTCTGAGATCTGGCCATGTTGATTGAGATAGGCAAAACAGGGTTGAATATTTCCTTTCTTTTTGCTGTTGTAAAGTATTCAATCTTCTATGACACCAAAATTTATTTACAAATTCTTCCATTTGGGGACATTTAAATAGTTTCTAAGTTTTTATTCTTACAGTGCTGCAGTGAACATCCCAAGCATATTTGTATACATTTACAAGTGTTTTTCTAGGACAGATGCCTAAAATATGGAATTGCTGCATCATATGATATGCACATTTAAAGTTTTTAAAGTAGTGTCAAATTACTCTCCAAAGAAATTATACTGGTTTATGCTTTCTGCCAACAATATGTCAGAGTCCCTGTTTTCCCAAATGCTTGCTAACTCAGTATATAACCAAACATTCATTTTTTTCCTAATCCAGTATGAAGATGTAGCCTCTTACTTGTTTTAGTTGGCATTTTATCTATGAGTGAGATTGAGATACTTTTCATATGTTTAAAAACCATATCTTTCCTTTTCTGTAAACTTTTCTCCATTTTTCTATTCTATTGGATTGTTGATCATTTTCCTATTAGTTTATAAGAATTTTGTGTAAAGAATATTAGCCCTTTGGCTGTTTATATAGGCTGTAATTTTTCAGAGTTTATAGTTTATCTTTTGACTTTGTTTTTCTTTCTTTTTTATTATTTTGACTTTGTTTCTATATTTTTCAATATGTATTATTTTGAAAAATTTTAAGTGTCAAATATAACTTTCTTTCCTTTTTATGACTTCTTGAGTTTCTCATGCTCAGGAAGATCTTTCCCTAGTCTAAAATTTATAGTTTTAGAATTCTCTCATATTTTTTATTTCAGTTTTTTTGTTTAAATTTTCGATACATCTGGAATTTATTTTGGAGTAAGGAATGATGTAAGACTGTAACCTAACTTTTTTCCCAGAGGGCTACTTCTTTGTCCTGGTAACATTTATTGAGTAATTCATCTTCTTTTTTTTTTTTTTTTTTTTTTTTTTTAAA